GCACGGGTGCCCCCACATGGATGGGGACCAGGCAGGGGCTGAGCTGCGGGGGCCTCGCTGCTGTTGGCTGCGCGCATCTCGGCTCTTCTTGGTGCCGACGCCTGACCCGTGCTGTGCGTGTGCTCCGGCTGCGCTGCCGGCTGCTGGCAGGGCCCCTGGCTCCTAGGGAAAACCTCTTCCAGGACCTCATACACGAAACAGCGGGCTGTCTCCTTCACAGCTCTGGCACAGGCTGCACGGCTAGCAGGGGAGGGCGTCCAGCTCTCCACACTCATGGCAGCGCCCCAGTCACAGCCTGAGCCCGGAGCAGATGGGACGAGCTGTCGGCGGCCGATGGCTGTGCTGCTGCTGGAGCTCTCCCTGCCCCTGGCAGAAGGTGCAGAGGGTGCTGCTGGCAGCAGGGGCAGCTGGGGCCAGGTGCTGGCAGCTCCTGCTGGCTGAGCAGTGGGTGCGTGCCCGGGTGCTGCTGCGTCCCTGGGGAGAGGCACCCAGCTTGGCCAGCGAGGCTTCTCCTCCCGTGTCCCCCTGCTCTGGGGCAGTGTCCTACGTGCTGGGCTGTCTGTCTGCAAGATAAGCCAAGGACAGAGGCCGCGTGACTGTGGCGCCATGTGGGAGGGTAGCGATGCCTGTGGGCAAAGGAGATCCGTAGGCCAGGGGATGGGCAGGTGACAGGCAAGCTCCTGCCTGTTCCTCAGGCTGGGGCAAGGTGGGCTGGGCCAGCCTCTGCCTGAGGGTTCTGAGGCAGTGGAGAAGCCACATCCACACTTTGTGCCAGGTCTTGCTGTTCTGCCGGCTGCTGGCCGGGTCCCTGCACCGCAGCCACAACCTTGACCAGGAGCTCACTCGGGAAGCACTGGATGGTGTCCTGCAGGGCTGCATCATAGGCTCTGGGTCCAGCACACTCCTCAGCCGGCTCTGGGAGGGGGACAGCAGCCACCTGCGGGGCTGAACACTGCCCAGGGGCTGGCAGATTGCTCCGCTTGGCAGGAGTCTCCCCAGATCAGCAGGCCCTTCCAGAGAGCATAGTGTGGCCCCATGCTGGTACAGCACAGCACCTTCCAGCCCCAGGATGCTCCCGAGCCAGTCACACAACCATTTGCTAAGTGGTTTAATTAAAATACCGAGAGGAGCACTGCCAGCCTGAGCTGGAGTTCACCCGCTGCTCTGCTTGCCCACCCATCCCTTGTCTCTCTCTTCAGCAATGGTGAGGCGGATGCCCTTCCCACGGGGCAGGGAGATCCACGGCTTGTTGCCCTGCAGCAAGGGAGAAGCAGCCACCTTACATCAGGAAACCTGAACAGGGGCAGAGCTCTCCCCCTCAGGAGGCAAAAGCAGCAGAAGCTTGTGCCTGGAATTGCCACCCAGCACCCATCTCCACGCAGATGTGGATTAAACAAATCTCTCAACTCTGTGGTTTTCAGCTCATTGCACACTGGGTAAAATAACCCAGATTTAGGGACAAGCCTGGCACACCTCGAGGAGCCAAACAGTTCCCTGGCCCCAAGGCTCGAACCAAACATTCCCCAGCGACTTCTCGGTTGTGTCAGCACCAAGAAGGCAACCCTGTCCCATTGTGCGGGGTGTGGGTGTGATCCCTCACCCACTCCACTGCCGGAGGAAAGGCCCTGAAGAAGAGCAGCCCGTGATGGGCCTCCCAGAGATGGCTGAGGAGAGGGCTGGGCCCCCCATGGCCCACGGCCCCCTGCGTGCTTCTTCCCACGGGCCCTGGAGCATGGCCAGGCCCAGGGGCCCTGTGTGAGAGCAAAGCCTGGGGACAAGACCCAGGGTGGTGGCGCCCAGAGCTGCTGAGTGCACACAGGACTGAGCTCTGCAGAGCCCCTGGCACACTGCAGCCATGGGGGAGGCGCTGGCTCAGGGCATCGCTGAGAGGAGAGCACAATCACATTTAATCCATCGTGGTCTCTTAAATGAGTAGAACCATTAGTATCTCTACTCTCAAACCGACCTGTTCACCATTTCTAAGTACGTCCTATACAGCACAGTTAGAACGGTTACATGGGCGAACCCGCACCCCTCCAAGACGAACAAGAGACGAGACCAGTATCATAGGAACAGGATCGGGAGTCTTAAATACTATAGATGCCAAAGTACTTGTGAATAAACAGCACAGCAACAAGTGATTCAAACAAAGCAGAGTACCCACTGCGATCTTCTCTATTAGCACCAATGGCTCTGATCTGATATACACTGCCCCAATGGTAAAGAATTAATGAGTGTGAAGAATATGGTGGTGATTCGTGTTATGAAATGGAGTGACCTTTAATGCCTAAAGTGACTAAACACAGAGGAGTCAGATGTGCTGTAAATATTTTATGATACATATGTTAAAAGGAAAGTTACTGTGATTAAATCAGTTGGAGGCTTTGTAAACTCAGACTAAGTTATGACTATGTTGATGTTTTGACTATATTGTTATTGCACAGGGTGGAGGGAGAATGGAAAAGCACCAGACAGACCCTTGCTTTGATGGAAAAGTACCAGAAAGACCCTTGTTTATGATACCAGAAAATCCAGGAAGGTTCCAGAAGCTGCACTAGGCATGTGCAGACCGAAGATGGATACTTTTTGGATATTTTTTGGAAGAGAGTCTCCCCTTTTATGAATATGTATTAAAAATAGACTCTAAAAAGGTGGGTTTGTTTTGAACTGTGTGGGTCGGTTGTGGAGTGGTGACTCCCGGGCGTACCTTACGTGGTTTTTGCTTGTTCTTATTTAGAGGTTTATTCCCAATTTCGGTGACAGCTGTGCTGACTAGTATGCCACAGCTCCCAGGCCTCGGGCTGCTTCCCGAGTAAACGCCACTGGTTATTCCCTTCTGTCCCGTAAGCGGCAGTTTGTTAGGAGGAGCTCCGTGAAGGTCTGTAAGGAGGCAGAGGGCCAGGGGAGCACGCAGGAGGCGGCAGGCAGGAGGAGCGGTGCCGCGGCCCCGGGAGCCGAAGCCCCGCGCCCCG